AACAAAAGTTCAAATGCTGGTTAATTAACAGAAATTAAATGTTGTACAGAAGATCTAGCAGTTCAAGCAGCTTATTATTACCAGGGGTGTTGGAACAACTGTAAAAGTGGGGGAGGAATGCGGGTGACAACAGGTAACAGTGTAGGGGATCCAGGGGCATGTTCCCCGGGATAATTTAAAAACTATATTCACTGAAATGCCATGTCCTGCACTTTAAGAGATTTATAGAGTTCTAAAGCTAACAAAATTCCAACACCCCTGATTGTTGCCTGAACAACCTTTCATTTACAGTTAATTATAATCTATCTGAATCTTATTTTCTTTTGTAGTCTTTTGCTGTATTGGCTTGTTGCATTTTTAATCCAACGCCCCCCCCCCCCCTATGGAGGACATCCATTTTTTGGACCCCCTCCCCTGCAATTCCGCAGATGTTGATGAGTTTCCATCCTACCCCCTGGAATTCCACAATTTTTTTACAAATTTCCAGCCTACCCCATGGAATTTCCACAGATTTTTAATGAATTTCTACTCATCCCTTGGAAATTCCACCGATGGTTTTGACCTAGTCTCTGGAATTTCCACATTTTTTTGTTTAATAGGTAACCATCCCTTGGAATTTCCATGTTGTTTTTTTAACCTACCCTGTGGAATTTCCACAGATTTTCTTTAAAATTGAGACCCTCCCTTGGAAATTCCTTCTTTTTTTGTAGAATTTTAGGAAGGGGGTCTGGAAATTCCAGTATCCTCCATAGGGGGGGAGGGGGGTGTTAAAAATGCAATAAGCCATTGTGCACCATAATTTAGTTCAATACATCAAAAATAATCCAGCTTCACACATCTTGTCCTGGCAAAGCAGGATCATATAAACAGCCCCTTAAGGCCCTGTTACAGGGTGCAATTTTTCATGCAACTTGTCTCGCAATGTTTAAAAAAAGATTTTGATAATGCATTGCAAGAGGTGTTACACGCTGCAATGATATTCATGCAACTCGCAACGATACGGGACAGAGGCATGCGAAGAGAATAGGGAGAGGCGCTATTTGGCGCCAAATTTTAATTAAAGTAAAGCGTGTACTGGGGAGAGCCAATAGGAACTCTCCAAGCATTAAACATTGCGAGACAAGTTGCATGAAGCCATGTTACACGCTGCAATGCTAAAAATAATTAGTGCAATCGTTGCCAAAAGTAGAATCGACTTCTACTCTCTGCAATGCTTCATGCAACTTGTCTCGCAACGATTTTGACCATTGCAAGGCATGTTAAACGGTGCAATGACTCGTGCAACTTGTCTCGCAACGCCATTGCGAGACAAGTTGCATGAAAAATTGCACCGTGTAACAGGGCCTTTATTCAGCAAATTGTGCATGCTGCCTTTGATCCCTTCGGGGGGTGAGGCAGCATTTTCCTTGCGATAGTAACTCCTAGTTATAGTATAAGACCATGAAAGAGACTTGGAGCAAATCTATGTTTTTCCGGACACTCGTTTGACTGACGGAAAGTCGAAAGATTGGAGTACGTCCTCCAGTAATATTATAGCTCAGTTGCACATTAGTATTCAGTTCCGAACGATTCCGAAGGCTCGACGAACTTGGTCCGCCATATTTTTGACATATTTTATGATTTTTATCGGACAACTTGTGTTTTAGTTTGTTAGATTCGTGCATGTTACAGCATTATTTATATTTATCCACATATGAACTACAGTAAGTGCTTATTTAGGGATTTGGATTTTAATTATTTAAATACTGTCGTGCTTTATTGTAATCTATATGTTTGTTGTAAAATATAATGTATAGTATTCGAACCTGTGATTATTTAATAAGTACTCGTTTGAATATTTGTAGCTCTTGGAAACAACAGTATTATCCACACTATTCGAAATAGAATCCATGTCTTAAATCTCGCAACCTTATAACCCCTGTGTATAATTTAATACTTGATCCGTTTTTCAAGAGCCTCATGCAGCTATGGCAGAAAACAGCTCGAACTTTAGATGGCCAAATGAAACCTCAAGTGAAGCTTCAAGCTCAGGTAATTGTTTGGTTACGGTTAGACTTTGACTATACATTAGTTTGCAATTTACGTTTCCGATTTTAGAAGACCATATATTTCTGTGCACACTTTGTAAATACCGTGTGTGTTTTCATCAGAATTTTTTGCAGCATTTTTATTGAACTTAATGCATGAGTCAATTCCTGAAGTAACCATCCCCCCCCCCTGGGACACCCCCGGGAATTTGCCTGATAGACAGTTCACGGGGGTCGGGAATTTGCCTTTCATCATTTCATGTACGTGCACGGGGGCCGGCTATTGTTATAGTCGCTAATGACCCCGGGGATTTGACAAATGGTTTCCCAGAATCCCACCCGCAAATTTTAAGGCGCAAAACCTAGTTTCAGGCACGCAAGTGGGCGCGCTGATCGTATTTTGCGCCCTCGTGGTCAAGGTAGCCTGCGTGCAGGCCCAAGGGAACTTGATAGTGGGCCTGCAACCATCGCCCGGTATTTTGAAATACGCCCCTTTTCATAACACGCCCCATTCGCGCGTCAATTGTCAAAAAAGAACCAATGACAGCACCCAAATATTAACAAACAAACTCGCATTAAAATGTTGCGGGGTTTTCTTCTGCTTATTCAGAACACTAATAAACAATGTGTAAATGGCTGCGTTTTAACTCCAAAAAAGCAAGCAACGCAGTCAGTAATTGCCAAATTTGCAAGTGCTCATTTTCAACTAAAATCGGAACAGGCAAATTAGGACGAATTTCAACAGAAAACCAGTCTCAAACTTCAAATCATGAGGGAAGTCGGGCGACCACATTAGGATTTATATTATGTGTGCTTCGCTGTCGCCATTGGCATTGTTATAAATAAATTGTCTCACTTATCAGATCGTGTGTGCAATTCTTGTTGGCGGCGGAAAGTACGAAATTTATTTCATTTGGTAAAGAACTCTACAAAAGAAGAGAGCGTTCCGAGTCCAGATCGTTTCGTTTCAAACGGCAATTTAATACTGCCTTCTGTTTCGCTCTCTCTGCGAAGCCTTATAAATCGCAAAGTGTTTCGAATAGGCTTACAGTTCTTGCATGCAACTGCATCTCAACATCAACCAAAAGATAATTTTCTTGAGGAAGTGAGAACACATAACGTATCAACTGAAGTCTGTTTGAAATTAATGAAACTCAAGTAAAGGTTACTATAGTTTACCCCAGTCGTAATGTTGCTATTCCAACACCTCACGACAAGCAATCCCCATTGGCATAACGGCAAAAACATGTCTTCCTTCAAGTAAACAATAAACAGTCTGTTCTTGTTCCATTTGTAATCGAAAAAAGTGATCAATTTTCAAATTTTAAGCTTATCGAGAGCCTTTGTCTATGCCTTTGTGATGAATCACTGCTCCCTTGTGCCTGCACAATGGGCTAGGTTAATTAATTACCGATCGCCTCAGCTAGCCAATGGGAATTTAGCCGGCGGTTCGGCCGGCGAAAATCGAAAACATGGGGTGATGGTTGCAGGCCCACTATCAAGTTCCCTTGGGCCTGCACGCAGGCTATGGTCAAGGTGGCGTAAAATGTATTGTCAGAATAAGCGAAAATTATAACCTGTGCCGTGCAAATTTAAGTACAACTATTGAAGGTTTATGATTTCATTGTTTAAATACTTTTAACCACTCTTAGCAAGATTTAAGTTTATATTAAAGTTTTATAATATTCTATAGCAGTTTAATACTATAAGTAATGTTTAATAAATGAGTAGGAGTGTTTTATCACATATAAAACACGACGCGTAGTGGAGTGTTTTATATGTGATAAAACACGAACTACGAGTTTATTAAACAGCTTCAAAAACGTCTCAGTTAGATCACGGCATTGGCGAAATAATTTTCCAAAATAACTTTGTATTAGCTGAGAAAATCAAATTTAAAGTTTATGTAAATCAAGGGAAATCTTTATCACATATAAAGATACGACACGCTTATGATTTTTCTTTGTGTTTTCCTCATGAATTGTTAATGAGTTTTTGAATGTTATTAAATGACTATGCTATTATATGCCATTAAAAGTTTAATTAAAGTTTAAAATCGTCCCCGGGATGGGACATTTTCCACACATTGGTCTTCAAGTTGTTTCTAATGTCCGGGTGTGTTCCCAGGGGGGGGGGGGATGTCTACTCCTGGAATTAACTCATGCATAAATCATAAAAGCTGGTAGTACCTAAGCTTTAGTTTTGAACGTGGAAAGCAAATGTTCTTTTGTACGGGACTTTAAGCTGTTGCGTTATTTATATGACTCTTTAAAGAGGTATCAAGGGAACCGTCCTATCAGTTGGCCTGTCTTGGTTGCAATTGATAGGTATTTTTAGTTATAGGCATTGTAGATAATTTTTTCCTCGTGTATATATCTAGGTTTTTAGACATGTTTTTGTTGTAATATATAGTTTTAAATTATTCACAGGTTTTAAATCGACAGGAGACTTCTATCTTGAAGGATCTATGCCCGGTATGAATCAGTTAATATAATAATTATAAAAAATTACAAACCGATGCCTTGATAATTCTCGATATCATACAAAAACCGAATTCAATAATTGTTTTATTATATATTCAAAATTTATAAAGGAAGCAAAGCCATTATGTCTACGCTTTTAAAAATATGGAATTTTTGTGCGCTTTTTGGCAAACAATGGACCGCGCTGGGGCTTGGTAACCACAGCGTGCAATAATACTTTTTTGGACCGATCTTCGGTCCAAGAAAAGTATTGCGCTCTGATGGCGCTAGCAGGTGAAATAACGTGACGGCTTCAAGATAGTGCGAGAATTATCCGACACATTTTGACCAATCATGAGAATAGACTTTGAATATATAATTATCACTATTATTACTAGGGATGAGCCGATTAATCGGTAAATAATTGGCAAAGCCAATTAATCGGCCATTTTTGTGGCTAGACGCGCTGCACGGCCAGCCACTATCATATCCACAAAAAACGTTTTGCGATCTTACATTTTTCTCAATTTGCATATTGTCAGAGAGTGGTCGGAGACCTCAGTGTCAGACTTGCGCATATATTACTGTTCTAAACAGGAGGCAAAATTTTTCAGCAAGCCGTATGCAGTTTCATATTTTGTGAAAGAATTCTTCAAATTTTGCCAATTGATTGATGAACTCGTCCTCTTCAAAGAAAAGGTAAGTAATTATTCTTGTGTTCGTTGTTATTTTCATTCCATTTTGTATTTTTTATAACATTGTATAAAACGAAAGCTATTAAATGGTCTGCTCTTGTCAAAGGTACTTTTGTTCAGACTCCATATTAAACTCAAACGCATTGCCATTGTGCTTGGATAATTACTTGCCTGCCAACTTGCAGCTTGTTGAAATTGTGCGGGTAAATGAAGAAGCAAGCCTATTGCTGGCATTATATTACACAACTGCACTATCAGCTTGCAGGTATATAAAAACAGGTTAGACTATGTTATATTTAATACTATGGTGGTCACGGACATGGCTCTGACTGCAAATATGGGTGCTATTGTTGAAATCTATTGTTCAAGGTTTGTCTCTTGCCACAATTTCACACAGTGCAATGGAAGCTTAGTCTGTTTACCTAAAGTTGAAGGATCTTGTAGATGGAAATAATCGCCGGAATGGAAATATATTCACATTTATTAGACCTAACCAGGAACAGCTTCAAAAAATGCAACTGTAGGTCCCTTGCAGGAAGCGAACCTATGTTTCCAGTGCAGTTTATTTTTGGATATTAAAATATAATTAAATTTTGACAATTTCAGGTAAAATTTGCATAATAAAGTTGTTATTTAAATGATAACCATTTTCGTAAAATACAGTCAATTTAGATCCAATTTGTTTGCGAATATGAGTTAGAAAATGCCAGAAATGCAGTCCTGGACAACAGTAGAAATCAATCGAAAAAAGCTCTATTATAATTATTACACTTCAGGTAGTTTTTTTTCCTGCCCCCAACTTCAGATGCTTTGCTACGTCCCTGAAGATCAGTGCAATCACCATACAACACTGAACCTTGCAATTGTGAGGTTATATGAAATAGCAAACCCACAGCCATTGTGCTGAGATCATAGGCCAGTTAACTTGTACATTAAACACCATAGGAATATTAATCAATCAATCAAATGTTGCTGAAATTCTAGACTATTAATTATCTAGCATCGATACAGATTGAATACAGAAATGTCCTATATAAACCCGATCGTTGAAGAAATTCTTTTTGCGGAATGATTTATATTATCAACCCAGCATGTGCCTATAATTAAATAGCTAAAAATGTTTATTTAATCTTTAGTATTCTATAAAAGTATAAATCATCCCTCAAAATGCAGGAATGCCATTTCAGAGACTCCAGAATTCAAAATTTTTGTGAGTATACCCAGGACGCCCTAGAAGTTTTTATGTGTGACTTGACGCTTACACCTGTTGAAAAACCTGTTTTACCTGTCCCACTCACAACTTTGGAGAACCCTGAAGAGGAAAGATCCTGGGTACGAGGCTGATGATCTGCCTTAAATATTTTGTTCTTTTTAAACAATTTGCAGATAACAGCACGATTCAAATTCATGGTGGAGCATGACATCTACAGTACTTCAAGCAACTAAGTAAACAACCTTGTTCCCAATGCTAAGTAAACACACATTTTGGACAATTTGCTGATAATATGGTGACTGGTGATAATATTGGATAAGTATAGAAAGATAATTATACGCAAGTATCAGGGCAGTACAAGTATTAGACAAACGTTTTAGTGGTGATGACATGATCAATTGGATGAGTTCTTATCAATTCTGATGCTGTTAGATCTTACAATAAATAAAAAATGTTTAAAATCTCTAGTATTAAATATTATATTAATGAAGAACTTTGAATAATTTGAAAGGTTTTATGAAATTTGCAATGCCAGCAATTCAAGAAAACTTTTAAACCATGCAATGAAATCTTAATGAATTGCTGGATTGTTTAAACATGCATTACCACATACCTCTTACTATATTTTTGTAGAGTGAACTTTTTGAAAAGAAATAAATTGACATCATTAGTTGCTGTATATGCTGATTATTAAAGCAAAACATTTATTAATTAAAGTGTGACTCAATAATATTGTTGGCTGTGCCATTGCTTATGCTATCAAAGCCATTAATTTGTTGGCACTTGGCATTGTAAGAAAGATACTGAATCTGTTTATTTTGACCATTATTCTATTGTAATTATTAATTTTGTATCTAATCACAATGAATGTTTGTGATGAATGTTTATGACAATGTAAACTCCAGCTGTATTTATAATTAAAAGGCTAGCACATGTACGCAGTGCGTACCTATTTTTTAAATAATCTGTAATCAGCCGATTATTGCCTTATAATCGGCAAATAATCGGCCATAAGACTTTTTTCTGCAGCTGTCAAGCACATGCTAAAATACTGAATACAAGCGAATAGATTTTCACATTTTGTTGCAAAACCCGCGTCTTTTGTCTCGTGTGGCTTTGAGGAAGTCATTAAAAGCAGTTAAAACACCAAGAATTTCTATGCGTTGAGTTGTTATTCTGTGGTTTAGTCGTACCATATTCTGTTTTCTGATTGAATCTGATTTAGTGTGTATTGTAAACAATAAAACCGCATTCACAACTTCATTGCTGGTCATCTTGTGATTTTTCTCTTGCTTTTTACAATAATCGGCCGATTAGTTATGACAATCGGCTCATAAATAATCGGCCTCAGTAATCGGCAATTTTCCTTATCGGCTCATCCTTAATTATTGCCTCCGCTAGGAAGTTATGTTTTTATCTGCGTTTGTATGTGCGTGTCTTATTTTCATCCTCGTTCTTATCCTCGTCCTTTTGTGATCTTCAGTGTTATCGTTAACCATATCGTTGTTCTTATTCTCTTTGTTATTTTTATCTTTTCATCCAGGGTGCGATAATTCGTACCTGACTGGTACTCTAAAGCCAACCTCGTTTCTAGGCTCTTCCCTCTTGTGGAGGAAAGACCCTGGCTGGGGCAACAGCTGGGCATTTTGTACGGAGCATGTGCGAAAAAATCAATATGGCGACATATATTAGGAGTGCTTCGTGGATTTATCTGGTTTTAAAGCTGATAAAACAACATTTCAATGAACAAAAACTTTGTAATATTTAGTGGAAAACATTACGCTATGCAATCCAAAGGTTTTAAATTAAAAATAAGTACTTTTGCTTTATTTTATTGCTTTTTATGCTTTCAAAATAGGCAAGCTCATTTTTTTGAAAGAATCTAAACTAACATTTTACCCATCATTTGTTTAATCTGAACAGAAATAGATAGAATACTTGGCTACATAAGTTATAAAGGGAATTGGTAGCTGATCTGAAAGATTTCAGTATTCCTGGTACACATTTTAACAAAGAATGACTGTAATTTTAAAAATTAAATATGCATATCAAAAACAATAGTTCTTATTAGAACAACACATAATAAGTTGTTATTTTCTATTTTTACAAAAACAAGTTTGGAAACAGAATCTAGTCCTCCAGTTTGATGTCATATTCCATTTATTTGGATATTTGAATAAAGGAATGTGAAATAAGAATTGAAACTTGTCCAAAATTTGATACCAGCACTCAAGTGAACAGATACTATCACCTAAAAATAAAAGAAAACAGAACTTAAATTTGTCATATAATGCTATGAAAAATCTTAGATACTACAGGCATATAGTGAGCACAATTCTTTAACAAACTCACTAAAATAAGTTAAGTTATGCTATGATAAGAGGATGGCAATATATGACAACATCAAATGTTACCATCTTCAGTGTTCAAAAAAAAGTGCCGCGCGCATTTTTCCCAGCATACCCACTAACTTTTGCATGAAGGTTGACTAATAAGGATAGTTTTAAGCCATTTTTCGGAGAGAGGCAATGGGCAAAATTTTAAGGTATTTTTATTTATATGCCATATCACCACAGAATTTCACAAAGCAAGCATGCCTATATTCAGGATTGCCGTTAGACTCTTAATCTTAAAACTGAACAAATCAATACGGCATTTCCTATCTCATAACAACCAATACTTGAACATTTTCAAAAGCATTTTTGCAGCAATTTTTACTTTATAACAAACCAATACAGGAGCAATGTCATAAGCATGTGACAACATGACATTTTCACTTCACAAGTGGATTTGTCAATTACAACATCTAACACATTTTTCCCATGAATAGCTCAGGTTTTTTAATAAAACAAAGTATGATTTAACTTTCATAAAATATATTTTCTAACTAAAGGCAACGGCCAGTTTTTACGAAAGTGCAAGAGGAATATGTGTCATTTTCATCAAAATATGTATTTTAAGACACTTATTATTCCAGATGAGGAAGGACAAACAAATTATTGAACATACCTGTGGAAACAACAACAACTCAGCTTCTGTCAAGAGTAAAATATGAACACTTCCGTGTTTCCATACTGCTGTACCCTGCTTCTGAAACTCTGACAATGAGTGAAACATTTCCACTTGTCGCCCATTTGTAAATAAAAATTCTTCGCACGTTTTCATGCGATTAAGTCGTTATATCGTTGCGTACAAGCACTACAACTTAATCTTTTAAGAAACACTTTATTTTCCATGAACAAACCAGTAAAAGAGGACAAAAAATCCTCTCACAATGCATATTTTCAGCGTTCGAAGAATCAAAATGTTTTTTAAGAAATGCGCCCGCAATATTTAAACAGCGACAACAGAATGCCCAGCTTTTGGCTGGGGCTGGTCACGTGGCACGCAGATTCTGCGTGCTGAAATAAAATGTGTCTTTGGGTAATGGGTGGGTAGGGTGGTAGAGGAGTGGTCTAAAGCTACGTTTGCACACAACGATTAATCGGGACGATTTCAGGTTTTGCCACTGAGCTATATAATAACTGGAGGACCTGTTCCTATACTTCGTTCAGTCAACGAAGTGAAGCCAAAAACATGGCGGATTTTGACGTTTGCTCACACCATTTCCATGACAACTGGTCCGTAATTCCCACGCAATTACCACTGACCAACCGCGATCCTGAGCTTCAGACGACGTTTTCACCCCCCTGGTTTTGGCAGTTTTTTTAGTTAAAAACAGAATATTTTCTCGTATTTTGCTGGTTTTTTACAACTTGAAAGAAATTAAAG